TTTGCAAAAGCTACGCGGCGGCGGTTGCGATATCTGCTCGGCGCTGGCTGGCGCGTCGCTGCGTCCGCGCTACCCCTCATGCCCGCGCGCGCAGCTGCCCGCTCGTTTGGCGCGACCGACGCGACCGCGCTGGCGCTGGCCGCTGGGCACTGCCCAGCTGGCACTTCAGTGGGAGTCCGTGACTTGGGCGGGCGCCACATCATGGTCGACATAGATAGACGCGACCATGACGGAGGCGATGCCGGCGACGATGCGGACGACGGCGACGGCATGGCCAGCGCGGGCGCCGACGCTGATCACGCCGACGACGATGACGGCGCCCTCGCGTCGGCGATGAAGGTGTTGGAGACAATTCGACAAGCGCGCGGCCGACGCGCGAGTGACCCGCGCAGCACTCATTCGACGCGGATCATGCCCCCCCACCCCACCCCCATCACGCGCGCAAGGGTGTTCGAATGATTTCGACATGCGGCGCGAGAGGCCAGTTTGGCAGAATTGACGGAAAATGCACGGTTGGTAAAGAACTCGCGGGAGCGCGAGCGGAGGGTTTTTGGACACGGATGTTGGCATTCGACTTCGAAACCCCTGCGAAACCTGAGGCTTTTGAAGGATGTCGGCATGCGCGCGCGACGACGCACGCGCGTGCACTTCGTCCTGTCTTTTGCCGGGGATTGTTGCGACAGCATGCGCGCAAAGGTGTTCGAACGACTTCGACATGCGCGCGCGACAGGCCTACTTGGTAGCATGTTATGGATATGTTTATAAACCAAAATCAAACAAACAAACAAACAAACAAACAAACAAACAAACAAACAACGAACAACTGTGCTTGTCTTTGAGATTTGCAAGAGCGCGGGCGCAAGCGTGTTTGGGGAAACTTTCGTTGCGAAACCTCGTAGTTCTACATGTTTTCGGGACACTTGATTTTGAAATTCTTACGACGCCGAAGATGTTTTTGAAGGACTCGGGCATACGCGCGCGACGACGCGCGCGCATGCATTGCGTCATTTTTTCTGCAAGGCCTTAATGAAAATGATGACTTGTGGTAAGCGAATATACGCGCATAGCATTTTCTGCTGAGGATGAAGGGGGAAGGCGATACCAGCCGCTACCAGCCTGCCTTGGATAGTGTAAACTCGTGCTTAAAATGGGCGATGGGTCCGAACTATGCGTACATTGCAGTGCGGAAAACCAGCGGCTGTAACTCCACGGCGGATGTAGAGCCTATTACCTATATAGAAAGGAGAATCGATGTGGGGCGGCGACGGGGCCGCGACGGCGACAACACAGCCGCCAGACCGCCACAGCGGCCCAGACGACGGGCGGCGACGAGGCGGCGACGGGGCCGCGACGGCGACAACATAGCCGCCAGACCGCCACGCCGGCCCAGCTCCTTAGATCAAACACAGGGCCCTGAAGTGCAAGCACTGCTTGGGAAGTCTGCTTTCCGGCAACAGTCGTGCGCGGGAGCCCCGCGATCAGTTTGCATTGTCATTTGACAGGGATGATGGGGGGGCCCTGGCACGCGCGGCGCACCTCGCGGGCGTCGCGTACCTGGCTGGCGTCTGCATTGGCTCCCGACCGTAGTCGATGGCGGCCCCTGCCCATGCTTAGACTCGACCGCTACTGATGTGGTGAAAGGGCGGGTGGGCGTGAACGAAACTGCCGTCCTTCAAGGGAGAAGTTTGGATCACTGCTCCCTATGAATGCCCACCCTTCCCCCAAGCGACCGGCAGCCAACCAGTCCCCGTGACGACTTCCCCCCCACCCTTGTCAAAAAAACAGAATGCACTTTGCGCCAGAATCTGGAGTTTCCGCGGGCGCCCCGCGACTACTTCGCATGGTTTTTGTCACAGGGACGGCGGGAACGCCCTCATACTGCTTGCTGCGCGCAAGCCAACCATCCCCGTCAAGAAACATCTTTTATACAAGAAACTTTGCTTCCAAATCTGGAGCATGCGCGGGCGCCCCCCGAACACCTAGCATGGTTTTTGACGGGGACGGCGGCGGGGAGCCTTACATCGCTTGCAGCGCGCAGGCCAACCATTCCTGCCCAAAACAATACAAAGTCCACTTTGCACCAGAATCTGGAACATGCGCGGGCGCCTCGCGACCAGTTTGCATTGGTTGTTGACAAGGACGGCGGGGAGGTTCTCATACTGCTTGTTGCGCGCAGGCCAACCGTCCCTTCCAACTTACAACATAAAATATGCGTCCCAATCTGGGGCGTGCGCGGGCGCCCCGCGACCACTGCGCCTCGGTTTGTGGAAGGGATACCCGGCTGCTACTTATGCGTTGGGAGGGAAGGTGGGAGTGAGCGGGACGGCTTGTGTTTTGTGGGCAGGAGGTGTCGTGACCATTGTTTCTTATAGACGAACACCCCCTCCCCCAGGCGACCAGCAGCCAGCCAGGACCAATGAGGCCCCCCACCATCCCGATCAAAAAACATTGTAAAGTCCATGCTGGGCCAAAATACTGGGTCATTATAGGTGGGCGCGAAAACTTTATCATATTGGTTTCAAAAGGGACGGCTGGAATGTCCGCATATTGCCTGCAGCGCGCAGGGCCAGCACTCCTATCAAAACGCAATAACAAATCCAGTTCGAAACCAAATTTGGATCATGCGCGGGCACCCCGCGATCATTGAGCATTGGTTTTTTGACTGGGACGGCGAAGGTGCTAGCACATTGCCTTCTATTTGCAGGCCCACCAGACGCAATGATGGCCACCCTGCCGCGACTGCGCACTGCATTCGATAAGGGCACTGGGGGCGGACACGGTTCCCGATCTGTACTGCGCAGGCGCACCTGGCACACTCTGCGCGTGCCTGAACGTGGCGCACCTGGCGCGGCTGGAGCGTGCGACACACATGGCGCACGTGGATCACGTGGCGCATCTGGCGTACCAGGCTTGCCCGGCACGCTTGGGCAGCAGGGGTGCCTGGCGCACCTGGCGCGCGTGGCGCGCCTGGCACGAGTGGCGCGCCTCGCCCCAGCGTTGCGCACATTGGGCCTTTTTTGGTTCCCATTGGCTGCCCATCCAAAGACTACCGCTGGACACGCTGCGGCCTCGGGTGCTGCTTATGTGTTGGGAGGGCGGGCGCGAATGAACGAGACACGGCTTGCGGGCGGGGAGGGCGCCTTGACCCCGCACCCTGCCCCGCTCCCGTGGGTCCGGTCGGAGGGCCCAGATAGCCCAAGGTGGCTCCGAGGCCGCAGCTAGCGCAAGATGGCCTCGCTCAACATGGCGTCCAACATACTCCAAGAAGTCCCAAGACCGCTCGAAGGGTGGGTCCAAGTGGCTTTGGAGCTTCCCCTGGACGTCTCCAAGAGGCCCAAATCTGTCCGAAGCCTAAGGGCAACCAACGCGTTTGCCTCATCGTTGGCTCGCTGTTGGTGGCCTCCCGAAGCCTCAAAATGGCCCCGAAATGGCCCAAAAGGGCCCCAAGAGGGGCGCAAGACGCCCGCAAAACGGTTCCAAGAGCGCCACAAGTGCGGCCCAGTGAGGGCGCCAACAGGCGACCTCTGGGGTTCCACAGGGGGGCATCACTAACTGGGGGGCCCCCTTATTTGCTCAGTGCCCTCCATAATAATCCCGCGAAAGCCCCCAAGGCTGCCCAAGAGAGCCCCAGGAGGGATCCAAGCGGCCCCTAGAAGGCCTCCAAGAGGCCCCGATGATGCCTCAAGAGGCCCCCGAACCCCCCCCCCAAGAGGCCGCCAAGACGCCCTAAGAGGCCACCAGGAGTCCCGGAGACACCCCAAGCGACTCCGAGAGGCATCCAAGAGGCCTCCTGAGTTCAACGAGGCTCTCCATCCAAATTATGCCACGCTCCCCCTGACTAGGGCAGCTCCCCTAGGCATCGTTCCTGGATGGGCTACTGGGGATACTTTGTGGTCTGCGGGCTCGCGAAGCAGGTCGAAAGCCGTCCGAACACTAGTCGGGCCGCGACTAGGCAGCAAGAAAAGAGAGGCAAGCGAAGCGAGCGCGCGGGCAGCCACTCAGAAGGAGAGCCAGAAACGAAACTCCCAACCCGGTGGCGTGGAAATCCCGGTGGCGACCAGCAAGTCAGCGCAGCCAAAATGGCGCGGCGGCGCGATCATAAACACGTAGAGGTCAACCACCCGGTGCGAGTCGGCACAAAGCACCGTCAGAGACGAACAGGACCGACAGGCACACTCGGACGACGTCCGTGCCGTAGGCGACACAACTGCATCGTGTCAGCGCAAGAGCTAGTGGGGATACGCAGAGCGTTAAGTGTTATAACAAATGTATACGCGGTGACTGTTGACTGCAACGCGTTGCATTACTTCACCATCTCGACATCATTTCTGAAAGTGGATGACAAAATTCGCAAGATTAACGCACGCCTTCTCAAGGACACAGACGTCACACTACAATGATTCATACTCAGCGTTTGAGACGTTTCTCGCTGGCAACTGCAGACGTACATCCTTGGGTGCCGAGGCATGCTCCTCTTAATGTTCCCGGCCGCCCCTGGCCCCCCTCCTTCTCCTCCCCTATCCCCCTCATCCTCCCCCATTCCTATCCCCTTCCCCCTCCCCCTCCCCCTCCCCCTCCCCCTCCTCCTCCTCCTCCTCCTCCTCCTCCTCCTCCTCCTCCTCCTCCTGCTCCTCCTCCTCCTCCTCGTCCTCCTCCTCCTCCTCCTCCTCCTCCTCCTCATCATCATCATCATTGTCGTGTTTAACGTCGACGATGTGTTTTTGCTGGGCTCGTCCGTCGAGCATCAAGCGCCGGCCCGTGCCGGCGAGCGTGTCTGCCGCGCGCTCTGCACAAAAGAGGGGGCCCCCTCCTCGATCCCAAATGGCCGCGGAAGCGGCAGCAAGAGAGGAAGGAGAGGTTGACTCAGAACTTCGCTCGAGTCGCCTCGGCTCGACATGAGCCTAAAATCCTTCTCAACCGTTCCGACCGAACTGGATCAAAGGAGGGCCCTGCACAGTACAAGTGTGGAAAAGGGTTATGGAATGAGCCCGACACTACCCTCAAGATAGGTCGAGAAAAGCTAAAGCGTCGGCGGCCTCGGCTTCAGCGTCAGTAGTCGGCTGCGGCTTGTCCTGAGCGAGTTTGTTAGCTCGCTGTCGTTTCCTGGCTGACATGAAATCCTCGTCGCACCTGATGATCCAGGTGCGCCGCGCAAGCCACAGCGCCAGAGGCTTCCTAGCCTCAGGACTGTCCTTCGCGAGGCCGTCGGTGAGGTTGAGGTCCGAGGGCGCCCAGACCAGGTGCTGATTCCTCTCGGGCCCGCAGTTCGCCTTCACGTGCAATACCTCCACGCCGGTCCTCGCGTCGCTCAGGCCTATGCCGAAGCTCTCCTTGTTGTGAACCGAGTCGTAAACTCCACGACTGTCGATCACCAGCACTGAGGTCATGGATTGCGCCACTTCCTCCTGGGTGTGCGCGGTAGCTGGAACTCCGTGCATGACTGACCGCAGCAAGCGCATCAAGTACGCGGCGTTCTCTCCGCCGTACAGAGCCTGGCCCTCGCAGCCGCTGGCGCCGAAACCGGTGCGCTTGAGCTTGTACGATCTCCAGTCGGCGATAGAGACTGCACATTCCTTCTGCTTGAGAATCTCGGCCGTCGTGAAACCCACGATGTAGCCGCCTCGTTGGAGTAGCCTGCTTGCGTCGACCCACGTCGCAATCACTAGGTCGTCCCACTTCAGCTTACCGCCGCAGTTGCTGTTGAAGTTGTGGAACACCAATGAGTCACGAGCGGTCCGCTTCACATCTCGTACGAGGGCGTTCGTGTCCTTCAGGTCCCCGAACGTCGCCTCGTTCACCCGCTGAGCCAACAGTGACACCCGGCACGAGAACTGCGGTGCTGTCTGCGTCGCTCCCCACTGGCATTTCATCAGGCCCGCCCTGAACTGGGTGACGTCCTCCGGCTAGAGCTTGTCATCCTTCGAGAGATACTTGCCGGACTCGACCCTGATCTCGAGGAGCTGGTGACAGAACTCCTCCTGGCTGGCATGGATCTTACCCGACGGCTCCTGTGTGATCCACATGCCTGCCCACATGCACGGCGTGCTTCGCCATGGAGACCACCGCAGCATCTCCTTCAGCAGGTTCTTCATGTCGAGGTAGAACTTGTTGTCGCTGTCGCCCGCGATGCCGAAGTCGTCCACGAGCGAGCCGATGACCCCGCACACGGCGCCGTCCTGATCCTGAATGATCCAGATGCACGGCTCGATGAGGACGCTCTTGCCTCCTGCCTCGTGGATCTTGTGGTCCACATACTTCCAGAAGACCCACGGCGCATTCGTGATCCCGTAGATCGCCGCCAGGACTCGCATGGACTCCTCCTCGCTGATCTGCAAGGCCTGCCGAAGCTCCTTCACGCCCTTGGTGTAGAGCTTCCTCCACTCCTCAGTGTGCCCGGCCTGCAGGAAGGCAGACTTCGCGTCGGCTAGCTCGAAGGTCCAGCCGTGAAAAGCAGCCATCTGGAGGAGTGCCAGTTTCCCTTTTCTTGAAATTGTTGGCGACGCCGTAGGAAGCACCCGATCTCCGAACTTGTCTCGACTGACAAGGTCCGGATGTGAAAAGCCCAACAGAATGATACGGGCCTTCGCCTTGAACTTCCCGTCCGGCGTGCTCACGGGGTGTGGGTCCGACTTGTCCGGCGGTTCAGGTGGCGTCAGAGGCTTCCAGGTCAGTAGCCACCTCATCTTGATCAGCTTGTCCGCTGGAATATCTTTTCCATGATTGTAGTCAGCGTAAGCAGATGCAGCCCGGACTGTCGGTACTTCCAGATGTTCCGCCAGCCCCCGTGCCATTGCCTCTTGGAACAGTGGCTTGTCTACGGGGCTCAGGCGGCCAAACGAAACCTCCACGCCCTTCTTGACCGTGTTGTTGGCCACGCGGTTCAGCTGCTTCTCCAAGTAAGCGCTCGCATCGAAGCAGAACTCCTCAAGGTCGGCCTCGATCTCGATCTTCATCAGGTCCATCTCGGGCTCGTTATTCGGATCCTGCACGAAGTTGATAATGTCGATCTCGCCGGCTTCCGCGTGGTCGCTCGCCGCCTGGAAGAGGGCAGCGTGAGCAACTTCAGCTGAGGCTCTTGATGAAGATGATCACCCAAAACGCGGTTGGAAACCCTCGGTCGGAACAGGTGGCCACGACACAGTCGGCGTCTTGCCTCTCACTCTTGTTCGCTTGATCTGTGGTGGCTCTGGTGCTGAGTTGTCCTCGTCTACTTCCTGGTCGCCCTCTGCCTCCGTGACGTCGTGGGGTTCCACGGCCACGTCGGGGTTCTCGATCACCCTCGGCATGCCTTCAAGAGGTTGCCGCGGCAGCATCCTCATGCCATCTGCCGTTGGGTAGGGCTCCCCGGCTATGTCGTCAAAGTCCTGGAGGTGCCTCCAGACGTCCTCGAGCGGACTGTTGAGGATGTCGTCCTTCTTCAGGTTGATCTGGACGATCTCCGACTGCGTGGCTGGCCGCAGCTGCTCAGCTGCGCAGCGCCAGCATCGGTTGCCCATGATGACCCAGATCACGCCGTCCTTGTTGCCGGTCTGAACCGCCGGTTCGGAGAACAAGACCCGACCCGGTCCGATGAACAAGCCGTCCGTGAAGAAGTCCTGCCCTGAGAGCTTTCGTTTTCCTGTCGCGGCATACGACCGCCAGGCACAGACCCAGTCGCCTCGTTTATATTCATGTCGAGGTCGTGGGGCTGAGTTCTTAAGCTCTGAGATCTTCCTGGAAGCCTTCTCCTTCAGGTAGGTGGCCCCCGCATCCGCTCGCACCCGCTCGATCTCGAAGAAGTCGGACTTCAACTTGCCGGTAGCTGCGTTGTGCGCCAAGATAGGGTCCTCGGTCGGAGAAAACCCGAAAGCCCACTGCATCGGCGTGTAGCCCTTGATGTTGTCCATGTTGTTGGCCGCCGCAATCGAGATGTAAAACACGGTCTCGGGACTCAGCTTGGGATATTGTAGGCGAAGCTTCCTCATCACCTGCTTGACGATCGAGATGCGGCGCTCGATGTCGCCAGCCATCCAATGTGCTCCTCCTGGTTTCGCTGAGACGCCGATGCCGGCCAACTGGCAGTTGTCTTTAAACTCGCCGCCCACAAAAGAGGTCTGAGGATCGACGAAAACCCACCTTGGCTTTGGATAATGTTGAAGGTAGGCTCTGGCAAACGTCGTGAACAGCGTAGCTGACGAATCGGTGCCCTTGTCCTTGAGGCCGATCTTCGCAGTGATGTCCCCGCACATCAGGCCGGTGGCGACCTCTGCGATGAGGAGAAACCGGGCCTTCACATTCAAGTCCGGGAACGTCAGGTCAGAAACGTCCATGACGGCTGCCTGCCAAGGTGCCATGGGGATATCGAGGCTCGCCTTGACCTTGTGGGAGAGGCCGTGCTTGACCAGGTCGCACGCCTCGCAGCGAAGGTTGATCGCTTCTTCGATGATCCAGCGTGGACACTGCCGCTTCTTGCACCAGTACGCCAAGTGCTCGTTCCCTGGGTGGCCTGCAGCCTTGTGGATCCTGCTCAACATCGCGCGCACCTGCTCCCTCTCGAGATCCGTGGGCTCAGCGACGTAGATGCTCCCGGTGTCCCGCTCCATCAGGTAGGCATTCTCGAGGTCCAGGACAGCAGGGTTCTCCAGGGCCATGTTGAGGTCGATCGGTGTCCGGAGTTGAGCATGCCACAGCCGGGCGATCGCCTTGCACATCGCCTGCGGGTAGTAGGCGGTGGCTTCGGTGTGCTGCTTCCCGTTGATGACTCGGTGACCGTGTGAATGGTCACACACGGTCGCGACCTTGGAGAACTCCGGGTCGGTGGTCAGGATCCTCCAGCCCTTCTCGACGAGCTCGTTGGCGTTGTAGTCCCTGAGGCCGCACATGCACCCGTCGATCCGATCCTCGAAGACGTGTCGGCCCCGACGCCTCAACTCCATACGAAGAAAATTGAGCTCGGGAATCTTCCAGCCTTGGCACCTGTGGGGCCACTCGAAGTAGACCTCGCCTCCGTTGTCAACAACCTTTAGCAACAGGAGAACTCCATACTTCACACGTCGTCGGTCTCGAAGTCGGTCTTTCTCTAGGCGTGCACGTGCCTCTGGGGTCTGGTAGTTGAAGTTCGTGAGCGAAGTCCATAGCGTGCATGGTAGCGATATCCAAGCCCGCTTCGGCATCACCTCGTCCAGCTTCTTGCCAGCAGCCTCGAACCCCGCCTTCGTGCTGAGGTTGTAACCGTTCTCGATGCTGATCCTCTCCATGCTGAGGCCGATATTGGTGCACTCGTCGGTCAGCATGTTGTTGGGATGGCAGCAGATCCCCACCGCCTCGGTGATCGTGCCCACGGTCATGGCCAAGGCCAGTCCTGCGAGTAGCGACCTCCGGCGTCCGGCAGCCAGAAGCTGCCTCGGCACCCGGCTCAGACCTGCCCGGGTACTGGTTCCGCCACCTGGGCCTTGCGCCTGGGGTTCGCTGCCCCCAGCATCTCCAGCAGCGCGTCCGGCGCGTGGCGGATCTCGGTCCCGGGAAGCCTCCGGAGGGAGGTGGCGATGTTGATCATCGCGGTCACCTGCTCGTGGTTGGCCGTCTCCCACAGGTTGCAGCGCCGCGCCAACTCCAGGCCGGACTCCACCAACTTCGGATGCTGCATGCTGAGGTTCGTCATCGGCGCATTCGTCGTCGGGATGTAGAGCAGCCTCAGCCCGCACCGATAGCATGTCCTGGTCTGGCCCCACTGGTTGTTGACCGTGAAGTACTTGCGATGCATCTTGCCGCACGGCCCCCGTGTGGTCCTCGGGTCGCGGGGGTCCACCTGCAGCGCGAACGCCGGGTCCAGCTCCATCTGCTTCTCCTTCTTGCGGCCCTGGTGCGTGCTGCCCAGATCTCTCTCCTTGACCT